AGCAGTTCACACTGTGTATCTAGGACACTGTTCACCATAGAAGACGAGGGTCCCACCAGTTCACACTATACTGGGACACTGTCCACCATAGAAGACAAGGGTTCCACAGTTCACACTGTACTGGTACACTATCCTCCATAGAAGACAAGGGTCCCACCAGTTCACACTGTACTGGGACACTGTCCACCAGAGAAGACCAGGGTCCCACCAGTTCACACTGTACTGGGACACTGTCCACCAGACAAGACAAGGGTTCCACAGTTCACACTTCAGTTCTGGTCTGTCATTGTTCTTGCTGGTTCTCCCAAACTGGGGCTCCAACTCTTTGACAATTCTCTAATCCCAAAAGACACAGATTCTCTCACATGAGCTGAAGGTGGTTTACACAGCATGGTGCTTCAGAACACTCACTGATAGCAGATCTGGAAAGTGGTTGATAATTGCCGAGTTTCTAGAGTTATCTAAATAACAAACCTGTGCCTTTCACTTAAGGAAGACAACCGTAACCTCCATGCCTTTCCATGAACCTAACACACACACGTCAGGCACCTAAATGTTGAAGGACACATGCGTCATACACATGCACGATTCCCACATACCAAGAGGTAGAAATAATGGATATCAGAACCTCTTAACAGTATCGAGATCACTTTATATACGTCACTTTCCTTTCATTTTCACATGCTAGCGATGAGAACGTTTGTTTCTCTCTCTTGTCCCCAGAAGTTCAGAACATCACCCCTCCATCACAGCCCGGGTGTGCTGGTTGGCTTTTGTCGTCCTGACACAGACTAGAGTCACCTGGGATGACAGTCTCCACCAGACCAGCCTGTGGGCTTGACTACAGAGCGTTTTCTTCTTGATAAATGATTGAAGTGAGTTGGTCCACTGGGAATGACCCTCCCTCCAGCCTGTGGGCCTGGGCTATAAGAGGGGGAACTGAGAAGCCATGAAGTCTGTTTCACCCCCTGCCATGAGTCCCAGCTTTGAGCTCAAGCCTTAGCCCCATGATGGGGCTAAAAGCTGTAAGCCCAACAAAGCCTTTCCTCCCCTACACTGGTCTGCTGTTCTCATGGCAGACAACAGCAAACTAAGACACCTGGCCTCTCTGCGTTCCTTCCTGTTGGGGCTGTCAGGAGGAAATAAGAGGAAGAACACATGAATAACTGTAAGGGGGTGTCAAAGACTGACTGGGTTTTCATTTCGGCAGCAGCTGTGAAGCAACATCAGGAGGGCTGTGGAAAGCACAAGGGCTTACCAGTTTTTGAAACGATTGTTGCAATGTTGTTTACCTTTCTGAAAGCAAAAGGTGACAATTACTCTGCATGTTCACTCATTGATTAAACAAATGTAAGTGGTTTGTTTTCATTATCAAACAGTCAAGAAACTTCTAATTTAGTTAACTGAACAAGGCTAATTGATATGTTTCCTTTTTTCTGGTGAGATGTGTCTTATTCATCCCAAGACATTCGATACAATGCAAGTACCTAACAAACAGGTTGTTACCTAGATGCTGCAGGCCTGGTGTAGTCCCAATATTGAGAGACCCAGGCTCTAGAGGATTCACAGCCCTAGCATTACCCCTGAGAAGCCTGGCTCTGAACACAGAACCAGAGATACACTGTATCCCTGAACCCAGAACCAGAGGAAAACACCCCGACTCGAACCTAGAGCCAAATGAACATAGTTTGCCCCTAGAGCCAGAGCCTGTTAAAGAAATTCACCCTGACCTTAAAATCCGAGCCGTCTCTGCCTCTGACGTGAAACCAACCAACCAATCCTTGAACAGGAAATAATGACCAATCCCTGAGTAAGAAAATAGTAACCTCTAGTTTAGAGTCATGACCTTTCCTGACCTCGTCCCAGAGAGGTAGTCACCTCTACTATAGGGGAATGACCTCTATGACCCCTGACATCAAGGGCTCCTTCCCCCTCAATAGGGGAAGCTAATCAGAAGTGGGCAGCCTCCTCACCCCTTAGGAGGCAGCCAGGTCCAAGCCTTGGTGTTCCCCAAGCCTTCCCCACTGTAAAAACCAGTGTCCCCACACGGCTCAGGGTCCCTCCTGCTCTTCTGCCGCTGCCGCTGCTGCCGCTGCTGCTCAGGTCGGACAGGGAGATCCAAGTTAACTCACAATAATAAAGACTCTTTGCTTTTGCATTGGATTCAGCCTCAGGTGATATTTCAGGGATGCAGACTTTGGGCTTAACACTCTCTCTTCCTTTCAGGAAAGGACAGCAGAATGAACAAGGAGAGGAAGATCACTGTGAGTGGACCTGGAATTTGTCGAAACATGAAAGCCAGACTTTTACATACTCTGTGGTCTCAGGGGTATTGGTGTTAGTTATTTGCAAAAGACTTTCCAGACGACTTTGAAATAAAAAGCATGGCCCCAGAGGCAGCAGCAGCACTGAAAACTTCTTATGGCTGACATGTTCTTGATCATTTTCACACTTTATTATTATGTTACCTCAGACGCCCTGGCTATACGCACTCAGCCAGTTGAATGGGTCTCCAGTGTTACCATGCATCAGAACTGCTTGAAGAGCTAGGAAGGTCTTACAGTGAAGTTGGCCACGCTAAGCCTGGTGACCTGTGTTGAACCCTGGAAGCCACATGGTGGAAGGAGAGAACAGTGGTTCCTACATGTTGTTCTCTGGCCACCACACGTGCACATGACCACACACACACACACACACACACACACACACACACACACCTTAAACATCATGTCCACAGGCACACAGACAGCACCCATTGCATGCAGTACGTTATAAAACTAAAGAATGTAGAGGACGTGAGGTTGGGAGGAAAATGTGGTGGGGACTGGGAGGCACTGAATTGGGAAGGGATGGATTTGATCTAAGTACGCTATATTCATGTGTTAAATTAACACAAAAATATATATTAAAAGTTTGATAGTTCTCAGTGATGGTGGTGCTGTGGGTCCAGGAACCACACCTTGAGAACCAGAGACCCAGGGTTCCAGGCAATCCCTTGCCAACACATTTATTAAAAGCCAACCAGGTTCCAGGCAGCCAAAGGAAAAGCAGCAGAGCTGACATCATATGTACTAACCTTTCCCTGTACTGTGCTACAATCTCTACAATGACAAGGCTTCCCTTTGTCAGTTGGCATCATCCTCCTATTTTAAATGTGAAAATATCACAGCCAAAAGAGATGAATCAACCTCATAGATCATGCGCATACAAGACAGAATTGTGATCTGAACTAGCAAAGCTTAAAAAGTAAAAAACATAAACAAAAAATTAAAAATAAAAATAGCTCTGGGTGAGAAGTATCTACAAGTGAATAGAATTCATTCAAGGTTAAGGAAAGGGTTTCAGTTCAGGGTACATGCCAGGGCAAGCCACAGAAGGATGCTACACCCAAAGAGGGAGGGGCGAGAAACATTTGTTAAGCAAAAAAAAAGAGAAACATGCATGAGCTACTTGCCTGCAAAACGTATTGGTTTGAGAGACCTGAAGCCAGAGATGGTCTTAGCCCTGTGGTGGAACGCTCTAGAAAAGCTGTTTTTCTGAATAGTTGACACCTTAAATCATGTTAAAAATAAGGAAATCAGTGCAGAATGTGGAGGACATGCTGGGGAGGAGTCAGTGCAGGTAGACTGTGGAGG